AGATCATGACCTGAACCAAAACCAAGAGCCAGAGGCTTAACTGAGCCACCCAGGCACCCTCTTTTATATTCTTTTGAAAATTTGGGGACGGCTGGGTGGCTCAGCAGCTCAGCATCTGCCTTCGGCCCAGGGTGTGATCCCAGGATCCAGGATCCAGTCCCACATCGGGCTCCTTGCATAGAGCCTGCTTCTCCCTCTGCCTCTGTCTCTCCCTCTGCCCTCTCTCTCTCTGTGTGTCTCTTATGAATAAATAAATAAAATCTTTAAAAAAAGAAAAAGGAAAATTTGTATTAAGCATTTTTAAAGCAATTTTAAAAACCTTAAGAAATAAAACATTACTATTCCAAGCTTAAGTAAGCCCTTTATGTAACTCTTCCCCCATTAGGTTTATCATTCCCATAGATTTCTTTAGTCTTTCATTGCATATTTGTGTCCCTAATCAATATAAGGATTTTCCTTTGTGTCCATGTGGATAACAACCTATCCCCCAGCCCTACCTGTTGATCTCTCCCTGCTTTATAGGACCACCTGTACCATAAATCCAGGAGTTGGATATGGTGTGTTCTCTAGGTACATTTATCCATCTGTGCACTGATAATCACCTGTCTTGGTGATAATAGTTTCATGAAAGGTCTGATACCTGGTTGTCCAGTCCCTTACTTTGAACTGCCTTAAAATTGCAGAGGTTTTAAGCTGCAACTGCCATTCCTGGTTTATAATGATGCTTAATGAATGTTTGTTGAATAAATAACAAATTGTTTTTTTTTTCCTTAGTATGTCATTTTTAGGTTTAATTTTTGTCATTTAATTTTTTCATTTAATTTCTTTTCAGATAATTCTGTACTTAAAAATCAAGCTTCAGAATCAGAATTTACTGACCAGAAACACCATTTAGTGTTTTCTAAGATAGGAAGGAGTAAAACCTGTAGCTAAAGTAAAGAATGTTTGTTTTTTTTGCAGTAAATTTTCAGTGGGTTGTCAAGGAAACTAAGCCAGGAGAACTTTTTACTGGTAATGGTGTTTGCTTTGAAGAGTGACTACAAAGTAATGAGGCTTGTTTTTCCCAGTGTCACTATTATATGTAGTATTACCTCACATAGCCATGCTTTGAATGTGCAAGGTAATAACACTTTCTAGATTTACTAATTAATATTTCACACTGATTGAAATTTAGAAATTAAATTATACTTTATGTTAGAGGTTTTCTTTGCTTTGGCTTGGAATTGTCCCTTTCATTTGGACTATAACCTAATTGGATGGCCCTAGTCAGCCTTTCAAGCAAACCCTTAGGTTTAGAATGGCTGTGTAACACTCTGCCAAGTGGGAAAACTCTAGGAAGAAAGACTATGTGTTGTTTATATAACAAATCAACGAAAGATTAACCCATTTTTCTACTCTTTCTTCTTGAGTTTTCTTTGCAGATTGGATTGATAGGACTTAAATGCCATTATCTAGAAAGTCTTTGGAGGACTTTTTTTAAAAAGCTGCTTAGGGGCACTTCGGTGGCTCATTCATTAAGTGTCTGCCTTTCTCTCAGGTCATCATCCCGGAATCCTGGAGTTCTGCATCCAGCCCTCTGCTCATCGGGGAGCCTGCTTCTCTCTCTCCCCTCTCCCACTGCCTGCCGCTCTGCCTATTTGTGTGTGCTCTCTTTCTCTCTCTCTGTCAAATAAATAAGTCTTTTTTTTTTTTTTTAAAGCTGTTTAACTGAGACACCTGGGTAGCTCAGTGGTCGAACGTCTGCCTTTGGCTCAAGGCGTGATCCTGGATTCCCAGGATCGAGTCCTGCATCGGGCTTCTTGCATGGAGCTTGCTTCTCCTCCCTCTCCTGTGTCTCTGCCTCTCTCTGTGTCTCTCATGAATAAATAAATAAAATATTTAAAAATAAATAAAGCTGTTTAACGTAAATTAACAAACATGATTATGTTTGGATTTTATTTGTATATTTATTAAGATTTTATTTATTTGGGGGAGTGAGCGAGAGAGCATAAACAGGGGGAGGGGCAGGTGCCCCTGTTTTTATTTTGATAAGAAAGTTTTTCTGCTTCTCCCTCTGCCTGTGTCTCAGTCTCTCTCTCTTCTGTGTCTCTCATGAATAAATAAATAAAATCTAAAAAAAAAAACTTTTAAAAAGTCCTTAATAAATTCTAGTTAGCATATAGTATAACATTGGTTTCAGGAATAGAACTTAGTGATTCATCACACATATAACACCCAGTGTTCATCACAATAAGTGTACTTGATAAGGAATTTTTTAAAATGTAAGATTAGCCACAATTATAAGATGGGAGGAGTATGGCAATGATCTCCCTCTTCTTTTATGGAAATAGTATATTATTTCAGCTTTATGATTTAATATTATATGAAACTAAGGATAACTTTTGGGAAGGCCACTCCCTTGTAGTGTAAGCTCTGAGATAGAAAGTAATAGCACTGACTCCTAAATTTAGCTTTTAAAAATTTAGTATAATTTTAAAACCAGTTTTATTTTATTGGAAGGATGTACACATAACATGACATTAACCATTTAAAAGTGAACAAGTCAGTGGCATTTAGTTCCACTAATTCAGTGGCATTTAGCAACCTTTAGGTAGTTTTAGAACACTTGGATCACTCCCAAACAAAATCCTATACTCATTAAGCAGTTACTCTCTGTTCTTCCCTTCACCCCAACCCCTGGCAACCAGTTTGCTTTCTCTCTCTGTGCATTGACCCATTCTGCCTATTGAATATAATTGGGATCTTACAATATGTGATTTTTTGAGTCTGGCTTTCACTTAACATAATGTTTTCAAAGTTCATCAGCTGTGTGGTGTGTATCAGGGCTTCATTGTTTTTATGACTAAATACTCTTCCTGTGCATGTGTATGCCACTTTTTGTTATCCTTTCATTCACTGATAGACATTTGTTTCTACACTTTGGCTACAGTGAATAATGTACATTTGTGTGTAAGTATTTAAGCACCTCTTTTCAGTTTTTTTGGGCATATACCTAGGAGTGGGATTGCTAAGTCATATGGTTTTTGTTTGTTTGTTTGTTTGTTTGTTTTTTTGAGAGCAGGGATGGGGGTGCAGAGTGAGAGGGAGAGAATCTCAAGCAGACTCCCCACTGAGCATAGAGCCTAACACAGGACTCATTCTCACAACCCCGAGATTATGACCTGAGCCAACATCAAGGGTTGAATGCTTAGCTGACTGACACCCAGGCACCCCTTATGGTAGTTTTTATTTAGTTCTTAAGGAACCACAAACTTTCCATAATGCCTGAACTATTTGACATTCTTGTCTTGTGTTTAAGGGTTCCAATTTTTCTACATCCTTGCCAGTTCTTGTTATTTTTAAAAATATAGCCATTCTTGTGGGTGTAAAGTCACATCTCATGCTGGTTTTACTTTGTACTTTCCTAGTGACTAATGAGGTTGAGCATCTTTTCATGTGCTCCTTGGCTATTTGTAGATCTTCTTTGGAGAAATGTTGCTTGTCTTTTTGTTGTCATTGTACGTATTTTTATGTATTCATATTTTGGACAGCAGGCCCTTGTCAGATGATTTGCAAATATTTCCTACCATTCTGTAAGTCATTTTTTCATATTCTTAATGCTCAGAAGATTCTAATTTTAATGAAGTCCAACTTATCTAATTTTTGTTGTTCATGGTTTTGGTGTCATGTCTAAGAATTCAGCATGTCTTACCAAATTCAGGGTAATAAGGATTTATTGCTGTTTTATTTATTTTTGTTTTTTAAATTATTTTTTAAAGTAAACTCTACCCCCAGAGTGAGCTCAAACTCATGACCCCAAGATCAAGAGTCACATGCTCTACCGACTGAGCCAGCCAGGTATAGACTATATATTGGTGACTGTATGTGGATTCACAGATTTCCTTCCTCCATGGTCCCCTGAGTCAGCAGATCACAGGCTTTATAGAGGAACATCAAGAGAATCTATCATGACATGAAGAAAAGGGATTAAGGATGAGAAAAAGGTAGAATTTCTAAGGGCTCATGTAGTTGCAGAAGCCTCAAGGGATAGATGGAAGATGACCAGAAGGAAGGTCACCAGAAGTCAGTAATGGAATCTACAAGCACTACAGAATACATAGCATTTTCTTTCAGGCAACAAGGATGACTGCGGAGTAGAAGTGAAGTGCACAGGTGGAATAGGGATGGAGGGTCAAAAGACTTTGTCAGAAAGGGATGGTGTAGGGAACTATAGAGGATTCCTTTTGTTTTGGAAGTAATGCCCACCCAATTCTACCTCCAAAGGAGAAGTCTAGCTAACTGTTTAGCATCTGTCCTAGAGAGGGGTAAGGAAAAGGAACTGAGACCTACCAGGATTTTATTTCATCCATAACTAGGATGCTGGTTAATTTTGCATTAGTAAACCATAGTCTATCAAGATTTTATATGTGTGTTTGGTTGGTCTTCTCTCCTTTCTTAATAAAATTCCCTAGTAAGAAGAATTCTAGTTTTATCTCAGCTGAAAGCATGATGAAGATTTTGACTTCATGTAGATGAGGGAGTTGGGTTCTCAGTGCACACTTAGAACTTAGGGGTAGTGTGTGGTTTTGGCCTGTGGCCATCTGATGGACCAGGAGTGAGGATCTGGGAGAGAAGGTATTGGGACGATGGTACCAATTAGGGCTAAGGACTTCTTTCCTTCTGGCCAGCCCTCACAGCACTCATGGGCTTTTTTTCCCCCCAGTCCTTGTCAACTCTGTGTTCAAAGGGCTTTAGAGAAAGGAACAAAGGAGAGGATAGATGGGACAAGTGACTGAGAGCCTGAGGGAAGGGAGAGGTACTGGACACTAGGTCAGATGCCCTTCTGCTTTTATCAGGTAGACTGTCTTACTTTTTCCAATAGAAGCAAAAGCTACTCTACAAGAAGTGACCTGGAGAGGTATAAACAAAAAATGGGTCTCAGGTCCTTGTTTAACGAGTCTGAGTTTGTACAAATAGTGTCTTTTATTTTTAACTACCCACGTGACCCCTGTGACTTTCAGGTGCTGCTTGTGAGCAGTAGTCGCCATCCAGACCGATGGATTGTTCCTGGGGGAGGCATGGAGCCTGAGGAGGAGCCAAGCGTGGCAGCAGTCCGTGAAGTCTGTGAGGAGGTACGCACTGAGGAGGAAAGGCATGGCTGTACCTCGTAATCGTGAGTCTGTCATGTCTGTGTAGTTCCTTATCACCACTCACTGAGTAAGCATACTCGTGATCACAGAAGGAAGGAGTTTACCAGTTACCTTGTGCTTCCTTGATTAAAGGGATGGTCAGGTTGTGACCTGATCATGTTTGTTGGGCACCCTGTGTAGGGCGAGGGCTCTGGTAATGATCATATCTAACCATACCAGATAGTCTTTTGTGATTTCCCCATGGAGCTCTTTGAGCATTGCCTCTCTTACCTGTGGCAGAAGATCAAGAACAAGTAGTTCATCAGCTCTAAGAAATAAGAGGGACAGGCAGTATTGATATATGGCTTGTTCTCATTAATGAGATGGAGGAAGAGACTGTTGTTCTCTGCTTCCTGGATCCTGGCTATACAACAGTGGCTAAAGCAGCAATTCTGTTAGCCAGAAAGTGTTACTAATAATGCCATTAAAGAGATAATAGAAAAAAAAAAAGATAATAGTTTGTTCTTTGTTATTTAGTCACAAGTTATTCAGCATATATGTCCTGAATTCCTGGACCACACCCAGTATATTTTACTAGATAATCTAGAGTAAGTAGTCAAAAGAAGTACCTTAGTTCCCTTACTTCTAGAGCTTACAGTTTGGGCAAACTGAGATACAGATTGCAGTTCGAAGCCAGGAGGAAGGAACTAACATTCCTCCATAGCCTGCAGTGGTGATGCCATGCTGTTCCTTGCTTTGCTTATGTTATTTCACTTAAGACTCCTAACTTGGTGATGTAAGTTTTATCACACCCATTAACTTGCCCTGGCCATATGGCTAGTGCTTTTTAGATCCATTTCTTTGTTCCAGAGGGAACTGAAAACTGATGCTAAGGACATCTAAAATAGCACTAAGAACAAGTCTCCTGTATTTCTTTTGGGTTCAGCCCTTGCTGAAGTGCCCTGAGACTAATCTTACCCATGGAATATGTTAGGAATTCTTTCCTTGCTCTGAACTCCTACAGGCTTGTGTTGACTTGCAACTGTCATTTTATCATTTATCTGGAGTCCATAACTAGACTATAATCTCTGAGAGCATAAAGTATATTTTGTGGTTTAAATCCTCCTTGCATGTGCCCAGTACACAACTAGGTGAACAGAAATTTTTTTTTTTAAGATTTTATTTATTTACTCATGAGACAGAGACGGGGGGCAGGGGGGCAGGGACACAGGCAGAGGGAAAAGCAGACTCCATGCAGGGAGCCTGATGTGGGACTTGATCCCAGGTCTCCAGGATCATGCCCTGGGCCGAAGGCAGGCGCTAAACCACTGAGCCACCTGGGCTGCCTGGTGAACAGAAATAAATGAATACATGCTTCTGTGACAGGTGGAGCAAGGGATGCAACAGTAAAAGTCCTGAAGGGTTACCCCAAATGGAAATGATCAGAGTGTAGGGGAGTGATAGATACTGTCCGAGAGGATGTGAGAAGGCCTTCTCACAGTAGTAAGAATTGGTGTCCCCCGTTCTTATCAGACCTGGGATAATGGGGAATGCATAGGGGTAGGGTGGCCTGGACGGGCAGATGTGATTCTCTACTCTGCCTTTCTAGGCCTGAGGGCACCAGAATCTTTTTGCCTTTTGACTGCTGTAGGTTCCACAGTACCTAAAGCAAAAGTGATGTTTGACAGAGCTTCTGTGGCAGTTGTAGATTCAGAAATGTGGTTGGTAAACCTGAAATGGAGTGATGGTTTTAGAATACAGAGAAAGGGAAAAAGTTCAGAGACTTTGTGCAAAACTTGCAACTTGGTTTTAGGAGTTGTGGGGGCACATCTGACCACTATACCTTTGTGGAGCATGTTTAGATTTGGCATCTGTCTCAGGAGAGCATATATCAGTTGCCATTACTGTTGTTGGATTCTGAGTGTTATAGTTGAGTCATCTGTGGGTTATACACATGCAGTGAAGATGGAGAGAACTAGGTGATGAGTAGAAATGTAGTGAGGGGCAAGTAGGGGTGTAGGGTGCCCTGCTCACTCTTTTGTTTCCTGGAAATGCCATTCCACAGGTAGTGAGAATGAGTGGGGATGGGGCAGAGTGCTTGGATCCTGTCCACAGATATTCAGGATCTGCACTCCCTCCTGTCTGCACAGGGTCCTGAGCTTGAAATTAAACCCTGCCTGACTCTGAGCAAGTCAGAGGAGAGTCATACCACACCCTGTACTTTGTTCTAGCATTATTGAGAGGATAAATGTCTGTGAACTCTATAATACAATACAGAATAAATCAAATGTTTGCACAAACAATAAAAATTGGTGAAATGTCATTGTGAAAACAAACATTCCAGTACTTCTGTCAAAATAAAATAGAGGGGATGGTTCTTCCAATTCCACATCCATCAACAGAGCATAAGACTTGGAATCAGAGAGGATATAGAAAGATTTTTTTTTTTGAAGGGTAGCTTTTGTGAGCAGAAATCACTATTCAGGGGTTTGTTTAGGTTTCAAAATGATACAACTTGGGCAACCCGGGTGGCTCAGCGGTTGAGTATCTGCCCTCGGCCCAGGGTGTGATCCTGGAGACCCAGGATCGAGTCCCACGTTGGGCTTCCCGCGTGGAGCCTGCTTCTCCCTCTGCCTGTGTCTCTGCCTCTCTCTCTCTCTCTCTCTCTCTCTCTCTCTGTCTCTTCCTGTGTCTCTCATGAATAAATAAAATCTTAAAAAAAAAACAAAAAACAAAATGGTACGACTTTTGTAAAGTACACATTCAAAACTTAATTTTTTTCATAATGCTTACAGCTCTGATTGTTCTCTATATAAACGTAGGAGATTTTACTGGTCACTTTTGGATAGTACTTAGACCAGTTAATTCAGAGGTTTCAAATTGGATTTATAGAGCTAAATAGAAGTACTTTCTAAAGAACTTCAGTCTGACTTAAAAAATAAAAACCTTATGAAGTTCTTCAACAAAAAAGTCCTGTGAATCTCATGTATTAAACATCGTGCGCCTGACTGGCTCAGCCAGTGGAACATGCGACTCTTGATCTCAGGGTCTTGAGTTTTGAGCACTACATTGGGTGTAGAGATTACTTAAGTAAATAAATCTTAAAAAAATTTTTTTACAAATGAGGTGAGTCTTAGAATCTTAGTTTCTTAAAATATTCCCATAACATATGTAAACTGAGATTTTCAACTTAAAAAGACAAATCAGAAATTATTCAGTTGCATTTTGAAAACCAAGGTTATACTCTAATAGGCCAAGTTTTTTTTTTTTTTTTTTTTTTTTTTTAAGTAATCTCTGTGCCCAACATGGAGCGCAAACTCATGACCTTGAGATCAAGAGTCACATACTCTGCCGACTGAGCCAGCCAGGCGCCCTAGGCCAAATTCTTTTACACATTACAAAATTATAAAATATCTCTGGTCTCCTTCTTAACATAGAAATATATTACAATTTTGATTCTCTTAAATATTTCTGTATTTCATTCTCAATATTTCCAGGATTGAAAGACACCCACCCACCAAAGAAACCAAGCCCTCCCTGTTAAGTGAGGCCAAGACTCTTAGGTGGCCTGGTTGGAAATGCTGATCTAGTCTACTTTTGCTCTATCAAGAATCTAACTTCAGAAGGCTAATGGTTGTAGATTCTACACTGGGCAGGAATGTGTACTGAGTGAACACTGCAGTATCTGGCATGCCTGGCTAACTTTGTCCTTCAACCTGAAGGTTCCTTCCTCCATTAAGTCTTTGTGATGCCTCCCTGTAGACTCACTGCTCTTTCTGTGTGTTTCCCTTGCAGTCTATACTTCTAGCATCATGGTATCTGTCATCTTTGTTTAATTGTCTGTCTCTGTGTATTTGGGCACCATTCCTTTTTGCTCACTATATAGTCCCCAGTGCTTAACACACAGCAGGTACTTAACTCACAGCAAGTACTTAACAAAACAAGTGTTTCAGTTATTGACAGGACTACTTAGAGCAGCCCCATAAATACAAGGTAGGCCCTTTTGGGTTGTCAGGAGTAAACATACTGGCAGGTCTCTCAGTTAAACAAAGAAGAATAGTTCAATGTCACAGTAGCTGTCCAGCCAGGCACGCAGGACTGGAAACTTGGGTCACAGAGTGCAGACAGGCCTCGCTCACAGTGGCTGGAACTGCAGTGGGAATGCAGTATGGCTCCTGGAACCTAGTCGCTGTGCTGGTGATTCAGCTTCTGTCTTCTGTAGATGAGCTGCTTCTCTAATCTCTTCTCAGCCTCCTGGTTTCTGCTCACCTGCATCTCACATTCAGCTTTCCCAGCAGAGATGACCTGACCCGTGGGTGCAGCTGCCAGGTGACATTATCAACTCCTCGACATTTTGAAGATATTTGCCTTAACTTTGCCTTGATTGCTGATTTCTTATTTCTCTTGCTGTGTTCAGAGTGTCAAGATATCATGTACTATAAAAGTATGGCCGCTCATGCTTCAGAACATCTGCAGCAGCTTTACTGGGAGGATCCTGTGTATGTGGGGAAAAAAAATATTTACTAACACAGGAACATGTTTGCAGCACATTCCTAAGTGGTCAAAGCAGACTATGAAACAGTATTTATGATGTAAAACCATTTAGTGGAAAAGAAATGTGTGTGTCTATTTGTGCGGAAAAAATAACATTGCTTGCACATCTACTATGTGTCAAGCTCTGTTCTAAGCATTTTGCAAATAATTGCCTCATTAAATCCTCTCCAGACCCTATGAGATAGTGGAACTGTCACAGTCTACATTCTGCGGGTGAGAAAAAAACAGGTTTGAGCCAGCCAGACACACAAGATTAAGTAATTTGTCCAAACAAATTGTGCCCAACCAAGTGTGCTCAAGGTAAGATTTCAATCCAGAACATCTAGTCTCAGCACCCACATGCTTCTATGCTGTGCTCATTGAAAGAATGTCTGCCAAGATGTTCATGCAGGTTATCTTTGGATTAGCTCAGAGATTATCATCTTCTGCATTGAACATATATTTATTAC